TACTTAGTGACAAACCCAATACATTCAAACATTGCATATTGAAAATTGAAAATTCAAGTAGTTGTGGAGATTGTTGAGCTTCACAAAAATCATGAGCCGCGATCAATGCAAGGCTGCCATTGGAAACATAAAAGCATGGGATGGACATTTTGTCCTAATGTTAAACTTATCTGTAGTGCACATACACAAAGCCAAAGGTCCTGAGTTCGATTTCCACGAGCGGGAATCGTGAATGCGTGCTGTTGATGTGTCTCGTACTTGGACGAGACTGCCATACAATACTTCCAGGTTTATATATATATATACATAAACACTAAAAGAATTGGATTCATTCCATCAGATAGTAGATATAAGCCATAAGGCTGGTTAATCCAAACTACTAGATTGAGACTGGCGAAATAACCATGATTAAGAACTGGACAATTTGGGTGACATGGTTGATAATCGGACACAAATGGCATAGATGTACCTTCTTTTTCATAAATGCCTATTCACGTGGTCTTTTCAGCGTAGATTCGTAAAATATGTAATCGTTCATATTATCATTTCTATGATAGTTATTTCGATTTATTTCCCTATTTATCTTATTTGCCATACCACCCGGCAGCAGCCGTTACCTTGACTTGGTGTTCGGGCTTGCCTATCGTGATGACCCAACTGAGTTATATTGGCTGGAACATATATTCCTATAGGTTCTCTCATGCCAGGCAAGTCGACTGGAGAATGATGAGACTAAAAGCAGCTACTCAAGGTCTGAGGAAGAAGTTGTACTGCTGACTGTAGAAGGGTTCGAAAGCAGTAATGTGTTTCCCTCGGACAAACAGCATTTGCAGCGATACTGCCTTCTCACAAGGAATCACAAATTGATCAATGTTATACCACCAACAGAAACCTGAAAGTATTGTATAGCAGTCTCGTCCTAGTGCGGGACTCATCAACAGTACACACATTCAAGACCCCTGCTCGTGGGAATCGAACCTAGGACCTTTGTGGATGTGCACTACAGATAAGTCTAACACTAGGACAAAATGGCCATCCCATGCTTCTATGTTTCCAATGGCAGCCTTACATTGTGAAACTCAACAATCTTCGCAACTCTATAGTGATAATTGATATTGGTTAGAGAAATATAAACAATTGAATTCAGTTGTACAAGGTACTTGATAAAATTTCATATATAGAGAGAGAGAGAAAAGAAAGAATACATGTACAGCACTTAGTGTACTACATTTAACTTATTCCATGCCAACTGAATAAACACTAACAATTGTTAAAATGTTTACATATATATATATCGTTGTCCCTCTGTTAGTTGAACAAATAAGGTCAATGTAAACGAAACATTTGAGGTGGACTTTCTTTACTGTATACACAAAGGCACACACGCACACATACACACATACATGTGTACATATGTACACACCATGATATCCGTATAGTTGATAAACTAACATTAAAAATCTAAAATTCGATAAATTGTAAGTCAACGATAACTTCACATACAATGGAATAATCATCATTGTGAATTCTCAAGAAAACTATCATTATTGTCTGTGTGTGTTTGTCTAGATTTCTCCACCTTGACCATAAGGCAAAATTAAATATTGAAGCTTCGTTTTCTAAATAGAATGATCATATCAACGAAAATCTATGCTCTATTGTGTAAAAAAAAATACAAAAGACCAACCCACTGAATAGGTTTTCTTTGGAAATTACAATCATTCTTTGTATCAGTCAGTCAGTTGCAATGTAAGAACTTCGTACGTATGTACATCAGTTCATGTTGCCATACCACATTATTAGCACAGAGACACATATGTCAAATCAAATCATTCCATAGTGATAAAAATAGTAGAGGTATTAATGGTAATGAAGAAGACTAGTAGGGTTAGAAGATATTATTCAAGAAGTATAATTCAGTGAGATAAGGTTAGAAAGACAAAGGTATAGGTACCGACGAATCCAGAAGATTAAGATTTGAGAGAGCACAATGAATGGATGCACTTGCGCCATTGCAAACGATTTTGAGCCATGTCGTTCAAGGTTTCTAACCACTGGTGACTTTCGTCTCGCGGACCCCAACCACGTAGTCTACACCTACCAACATGACTCAGTCCACTTGTCGGTGATTTCATGCCTTTCTGCCATGTTTTGGTTTGGCCGCCCCTAGATTTCTACCAACCTACTCCCACAGCACAAAACACAGATCGTCGAGGTAGTCGGTGGTTAGGCATACACGTAACACATGTCCCAACCACCTCAACTGATGAAGTTTCACCACTTCATCTATTGATCTGCCATCCGTACCTAGCACCCGTTTCCTAACGACAGAGTTGCTCACTCGGTTGTCCCACGATATACGAGCAATGCTTCTTAAACATCTATGGTCGAATACTAGTAACCTACAAACATTTTCTACTCTTAACGGTTATATTTCACAGCCATGTAGGAGAACGGAACGAACTGCTGCGCAGTATACCCATCCTTTGGTTAGCGAACGGATATCACGCCTACGCCATAAGTGACGCAGGTTGGCAGAAGCCAATCGAGCCTTCTGTATCCGAGCTGAGATTTCGTCAGTCACCAGGTTATCAGCACTGATGAGACTCCCCAGATAAGTGAAGTGATCAACACGCTCGACTACCTCAGTCCCTATAGTAGAGGTATTAATGGTAATGAAGAACACTAGGGTTTGAAGATATTATTGAAGAAGTATAATAATTCAGTGAGATAAGTTTAGAAAGACAAAAGTAGAGGTGCTGACTATTCCAGAAGATTAGGATTTGAGAGAGTTCAAAGAATGGATGCACTTGCGCCATTGCAAACGATTTTGAGCCATGGCGCAAGTGCATACAATGTATTCAAGCTATGCCTTGTTAAACCATTTGGTGTAGTGTTCACGCAACAAGCGAAATCAATGGTTGGACAAGGTGTACAATATAACTAAGAATCGATTCAAATAGCACAGATGCATTCACTTTTCATTATCTTATTTTAAACATTGTATCTCAGTATTCTATACTTTTATATTTGTTCATATGGGATCATATTTTTCTAAAGTTAAGTTTTAATGATTATTATCATTTTCATTTTGATTTCGAGGTTGATTTGATTTTTTATTTGGTTTAGTAGTTGTAAGATAAGATAAGTTAAACTAACAGATTGTTTATTCTAAAATTTGTATTATCAATGTAAATACTAGTACAAATAGTCTGTTGTTGATTTGTTGGCACAAATCGATCAAGTCATTGACAACTGGACTGAATCATGTTGGTAGATGTATATAGGCTACATGGTTAGGGTCCACGAGACAAAAGTAACCAATGGTTAAAGACCTTGAATAAAAACGACATGGCTGAGAATCGTTCGTAATGGCGCAAGTGCATTCATTCTTTGTCCTCTCTCTAATTCTAACCTTCTGAATTCGTCATCATCTCTATTTTTCTCATTAAAATTAAACTTCTCGAATTATATCTTCCAACCCTAAACTTCTTCATTATCGCTAATACTTCTAGCATCTTCACCATAATGGGATTTGAACTGACAGTTGCAACTCTGTGCTGATGCATGCAGTATGGCAACCTGAACTTATGTACTCATGTATGAAGAAGTTCTACGTTGTAAATGACTGACTGAATTACATTGATTGTACAACAAAATGCATACAATGATGCGCTATAGTGAGTCAATCAGAAGATTATTCAATGACTATCAAGAAATCTCCTACAGGGGTTGGTTAATACATATCATTGGTCAAGAAGTGGTTTTCTTCTCTAAAGAGATGGAATATTTATAACATATGGACGAGTAGCCAAATAGACTTTCTAATTTGCTTATACCTTCTCGTTGGCACATATCGCGATCAGATCTCAGTAAAATGGACATCATAAAGGATGCTTTTTGTTTGGTTGCTTGGTTCAATACAAGTATTTGAATATTCTTAGTTAGTAAAGTATAATTTTTCACTGTGGTTTAATATATGCAAAATGAAGATAACTAAAACAACTTTAAAAACATTCATTAAAGTTAGCTTAATCTAGTGTATAGACGCTGTCTAAACAGCGATTCTTTCCTTGGTCAAAGATGATGTTTTACAGTGATCTAACAAGTTATTTATTAATGTATATACTCCTTACTATTGATTGTGAGGTCTTGTGGTAGTGTATGTCATTGAAAGGTGTACCAGAGAAGTACATTGACCTTGTACAAGCTCTCTACCTGAATACCACTCGTCAAGTTACCGCTTATGGCCAATTGTCATTGGGAATAATTACTTCAAGAAGTGTTCAACAGGGTTGTCCAATTTCTCCATTCTTATTCAACTTTGTCATAGAGATGCTTTAAGAGACGACACTATCATCGTTTGACTTTTCAGGAGTTGAACTTTAACCAAGAGATTTACTCGTGTAATAAGAATATGCAAACGATTTAGTTCTGTTTGTTGAAAATGCTGAAAATATATACAGTCTTCTGATTACTTTAAGCCACAATGAAAGCATGTTCTGGATCAGTTTCTTCCTTTCGAAATGCAAAATGTTACTTCAGGATTAGCTTGCATCGGCACCCGAACTAGTGTTAAGGAGTAAAGTTGTCGAGTGTGTTGACTGCTTCACTTATCTTCAGACATATATTACATATGGTCAATTACCGACTGTCTCGATGAGTGATGTTTTGAGTAGGCTGGAAGAAAGCTAGGATTGGTCAAACCAAAACAAAACACAAACCCATAAAGTCATAGACAAGTGGACTGAGCCATGTAGACTTCTCGAATCATATATATATCCAATCTCCAATCTTTTCGATTACGGCTTATACTTCCACTACCTATACTACTACTATGCGATTTGAATTGACGATTCCAGCTCTGTATGCTAGTGTGCTATAGCAAATTGAACTGATGTATGTATAAACTAAGGTCTACATCGCAAGTGACTGATTAACTGACTTACTATTGATACTCACTATGATTAAAAAAGTTTACATTCGATGATAAATGACATTCTGTCTAAAAAACTTCAACTACACAATCATTAATTAATTTTTACCTGGTTGATAAATTGGACCAGCCAATGATAGAACTAATTTCACTTTCGTTTGATTTACATTCCAACGTGATGAGAGCAAATTAAAAATTACAACAGAACCCTGTTAAGAAGAAAAAAAAGGGTAAGGTGCGTATCGAAAATGATACTGAGAAGATGATAACAAAACAAATAAAGCATTGGTGTGGTGTGAGCTACTTATAAGTAGTATATGACGCGAGTGTCAACGTAATGTCTGGCAGCAGAAGATGGGGGAAGATCAAGAAAGGAAGAGTGGGAACACAATGGAATTTGTATGAAACGCATGAATAGTGAGTGACAATGGATTGATGTTTTTTGCAACGGGAACAGTCCAGTTCGATATGATGAACTGATATTTTGCAAATTAACGATTTACGATATGGTTTCCCGATTTTACTGAGTAACTCTGTAATTTTCGTTAAATACAATCCGGTTGCCCCACCTGTGTTCTCCTTCACTACATTGGTTCTGTTTGTGCATGCACGTAAATATGTCAAACTGATATGCTAGAACTATTACAAGTTTACCTTAGTCGGAAAACGAGAGAGAGGATCGATGATCCGGTGACATGACAGGCTACACTAATCCGATTGTCCCAAAACCCCCAATGAGTATAAGAAGAAGACTGGATATGAAGTAGAACCTATATTCTACAAGCATCCAAAAAGTACGAGGTCCGAGTCCAGAGAATAATCAGGATTCCAAACTAAGGATCCGGATCATAAGACGTTACAGATAATGAGTATTTATACATTTAGGTCGAATAAGAATCAACAATAAAGTCTGTGACATTGAAAGTTAGGACGGCCAATAGGAAACAACATTTGAAGTGACATTGATATTTAGAACAGCCAATTGGAAACGACATTGAAGTATGTGACATTGACAATTAGAACGACCATATTATTGACCACTAGGAATTAACCAATAGAAATTGACCAATAGAACTAGACTTACAAATAATTCTCTTACGGTATTGGATGCATATCCTACCAGTTTCGTTGTCAATTTTCGATTTAGTCCATTAATTTTCAAGTAATTTTTTATCACTTAAATGAATCACTTATTGAATTAATAGGTAATGATATAAATTGATTGTTTAATAAGAATGAAATGTTTTAACGCTACCAGCGGAGTTCAGCCCTGCCGATTGTAGTCAGTAACTATCGAAGACAAAGTTAAACATCGTTGGATGCCGACTCAGTAGTCTAGAGATTATGCATTCATGTGTGAGACCAAAGGTCCTGGGCTCGATTCCCGCGAGTGAGAGTCGTAGATGCGCACTACTGATAAGTCCCATATTAGGATGAAGGTCTTGGGTTCAATCCCTGGTCGCAGTGTCGTATTTAGGTGCTTAATGAGAAGTCCTATACTAGAACTAAATGGCTGTTCAGTGCTTTCAGGTTTCTAATGGTGATATAACAATGATTTACAATTTCAATGTACGAATGAAATCAATCTGATTGAAGATCTATTGATTGAATGAAAAATAATATTGAATAGGGTTACATGAATAGTTACAACTATATGCAATATTCGATCAAGTTTACAACATCTTTCTACAATGATTGAGAACGATTTTCGTTGTTGTTGTTGAATGAAAGCTATTACACAATGCCAACTATTGTTTTGAATAGATAAACTGTTAAATACCACAACCAACGTAAACTCTAATGGAACTTCTCATTAGACATCTAAATATAAATACAGCAAAGGACCTCCGGTCTCACACAAAAGCACCTAACTCTTAGATCACTGAGCCGAAATCCGTTGGTGTTAACAGACTGACAGACAGACAGATACAACGCAGAACTTCGTACGTAAGTACATCAGTTCACATTGCCATATCACGTCAGCACAGAGACGCAACTGTCAGTTCAAATCCAAGAGTGATAACAATAATAGAAGTATTAGCAGTAATGGAGAAGATTAGGGAGAGAAGATATGATTCCAGAAGTATAATTCAGTAAGAGAAATTTAGAAGAAGAAAGGTAGAGATTATGAGGAATGCAGAAGCTTAAAATGTCATAGAACACAAAGAGTGGATGCACCTGCGCCATTGCAAACGATTTTGAGCCATGTCGTTGTTCAAGGTCTCTAACCATTGGTGACTTTCGTCTTGCGGACCCCGACCAGGTAGCCTACACCTACCAACATGACTCAGTCTACTTGTCACGGATTTCTGCCTTTTTTTGGTTTGACCGCCCCTACCTTTCTTCCAACCTACTCCTACACCACAAAACATAGCTCGTCGATGCAGTCGGTGGTTAGGCATTCGTAAAACATGTCCCAACCACCTGAACTGATGGAGTTTCACCACTTCATTTATTGATCTGCCATCCTTACCTAGTACTCGTTTCCTAACGATAGCATTGCTTATACGGCTGTCCCATTATAAACGAGCAATGCTTCGGAGACACCTATGATCGAAGACTAAAAATCTACGAAAGTCCTCTACTCTTAACGGCCAAGTCTCGCATTCGAACAGAAGGACAGAGCAAACTACTGCGCAGTACACCCGCCCTTTGGTTAGCAAACAGATATCTCGACTACGCCATAGGTGACGAAGGTTGACAAAAGCCAATCGAGCCTTCTGTATTCGAGCTGAGATTTCGTCAGTCACCAGGCCATTAGCACTGACGAGACTCCCCAGATAAGTGAAGTGGTCTACTTAATGTTAATGTCTAACTTCAATCGATTCGCGATATTGTGCAACTATCTCCCACTGGTGAAGGATTCTTACGAGAAATCCAACAGTCGAAACTTAAAGCTACTCACCAGTGAGCACATTATAATAAAAAGTAGAGGGTTTTCTGGAGGAGACTGAAGAATTTTCATTGGATGTCTGTTCAGTGGTATAGATGTTGAGCATATACGAATCCTTAGTCCGGTTTTCGAGTGCGAAACCGCGTATACGCACTAATGGGAAGCCCATGCAAGCACGAAATGTCTACCTGGTACTTCCTTAATTTGAAATCTATTGACCGCCGTTAATTATAAAATGATAATAACGTTTTATCCAACATCATATATATATATAGATCAGACCCGAAAATGATTGACACAAAACGGAATTAAATACAATGTTTGGGTTTTTAAGAATATCACAGATCAATAAATTATTGTAAACAATATCATTACTTGTGACATCATTCGTACACAGCTAATTATATTGTCATGAAACAAGTTTCGATAATGGATACTAGTAAAATATTTCAATGTTATATAGGATAGTTGTGATGTGGCTAGCAATGTGATTTATGATGGGAGTTACATCCTACACTTGGAATTAATCAGCTACAACTATCTGCATCCCAGAGTTGATATCCAACTGAGTACCTTTCGTTTCAAACACACAACGACTTATCAATTTAGCTACCAGGTTAAAATAACACTCAAACCATTATTATATAATAAATTAAAATCTAAATATGTTGTTCAAGCAACATTGCTTGTATATCGTGGGACAACCGAGTAAGCAATGCTGTTGTTAGGAAAAGAGTACAAGGTAAGGATGGCAGATCAATAGATGAAGTAGTGAAACTTCATCAGTTGAGGTGGTTGGGACATGTGTTATGTGTATGCCTAAACACTGACTGCCTCGATGAGCTATGTTTTGTGGTGTGGGAGTAGGTTAGAAAAAAGTTAGGGGCGGCCAGACCGAAACATGACACAAATCCATGAAGTCACTGACAAGTGGACTGAGTCATGTTGGTAGATGTAGACTACCTGGTTGTGGTCCTCGAGACGAAAGTCACCAATGGTTAGAGACCTTGAACGACATGGCTCAAAATCGATTGCAATGGCGCAAGTGCATCCATTCATTGTGCTCTCTCAAATCCTAATCTTTTGGATTCGTCGGTACCTATACCCTTGTCTCTCTAACCTTATCTCACTGAATTATACTTTCTGAATAATATCTTCGAATCCTAGTCCTCTTCATTACCATTAATACCTCTACTATCTTTATCACTATGGGATGATTTGATTTGACATTTGCGTCTCTGTGCTGATGTGGTGGTATGGCAACATGAACTGATGTACATACGTACGAAGTTCTACGTTGCAACTGACTGACTGACTGAATTCTACGTTGCAACTGACTGACTGATGTTGTTCAAGTGATTGGCTGTCTTAACTCAAAGTAGCTAATCTAATTATGCGTCCGATGTTTGAAGCGAAAAACTACTGAATACGGATCACAGGATGCATATATGCCAACTAAGACTAATCAAATCTCAGTTAAAATGTTAACAACGGGGTAATTCATTTCATTGCAAGTTAAACTCATTTTATCATTATGGTTTATTATGTTAATAAGGTAGAGGTTTTATAAATGTATGCGGAAAGGGAAATCAGACAAATGTCTCATAAAAAGTACTCCAATGATCATATGAAAAGAATAGAGAAGATTAATTATACTTCGGATGAAAGGGGATTCAACGAATCAAATCGAAAAGCATTACAACAGAATACTCGTTTTTCTTGTGACTTGCAACTTACTGAGTAAATGTATCATCTGCTTACTAGTGTATTGGTTCCTGCAATGAGACTTAGATTTATCACAAATCACTTCTAGTGTCAGACACAGAACTCCTTACCTCACAGCTCATATATATTCATATATTAATAGCTTATACCGGGAAAGTCTCTTCCAGACAGAAAAATAATTTTAACAGGATCGAAAGAACGAAAGTAGATATTCAATGCATAAATCGGATTGATTTGCATGCAAGGTTCACTTGAAGGAGTCAAAAAAAACTTTAATTTCACACCATTGGCGTACACTGCTGCTGGTATGGTGTATCCTACTTACAACGTTGTTTACGAGTAGTATGCGATGGAGTGTCAACCCTGAAGTTACTACCAAAGAGAAGAGCGTCAGATCCAAATATGAGGAAGAAGACAACTGATGATCTGCTTGCTTTGCAGATTACGTGTGAACATTTTGTTGGTAAACTATGTCGCCAAATAAAAGGCGCTTTAACGTCCTTATTCATTACACTACGATGCTAAGAGAACGAATGACTTCCAACCCTACATTGGTCACTATCTACCATAGAATTACATTTGATGTTGCCATACTACCTCAAAATTTAAATTTTAAATTCAAAGGTGTAATCTAACGATCAACGATTTGGACAGCACTTCAGTTCATTGTTCTAAAATGTCAATATAACAGTCGGTTTAGAATATATCGTAACATACTAGAGCTTCAATTAATAGTTAGCGTGGTTCAAGACTATTCCACTTGTGTTTAAGGAACCAGGTAATATTGCAAGCCGTCACATCGACACACCATGACATAGTACACGAACGTACAGTACATACAGTTGATGCTCACACCGAGACTCAAACATAGTATCATTCGGTTTAAACGCAAACCCACTAACGTCTGAGTTAGTGAATCGTCATATTCATTAATTTGTTTAATGAGTATGATGTTTATATTATTATCAATAAAGAGAAAGTGGTTATTGATATTCAGAAGTAAACTTTAATGGAATAACTATGACATCGTTAGTGGGACATAGATTGGATTCAAGCATGATTGCGTTGTTGTTGCACGCTGATTGGCTCTTTCGTATCCAATCAGCGCCAGTTAATACTTGCAGAACGTTCTAGAATCTTCGCATGTAAGAAAACTATAAATATACTACAGTCTTTTTCCTATTGGATCTTCCGACTTTCATTTAACCTTGTTATTAGGAATATAATCTCTATTTCCTGTTCAACTGTGTTCTGATTTTTGGGGAGAACGCCTCCAGTGAAATGGTGTCTGAGAATACTAAAGCATTAGGAAAATAGCTGGGTTGTAATTTAAAGAGAGAATTATAACAGACATATAAATTGTGTCATAAACTTACAACAGAATGACCAATTAACACTAAATGTTCCGGAAGATTTGGTCGGTTAGCATATGTTCCGAAAATAGCATCGATTGCTTTATCAACAAAATCTAAAAAGTAAATTTTTAATTTTTTCAGAGGAAAAAGAAATATATATATATATATTTATCATAATGATTGATAATTACCAGTTTGACGTTCAATAATTTCACCACTAAGAGCAGATTGTTCCTAAAAAGAAAAACAGAGAAATAAATATAAGATAATTGAATCTATGGCTTGTTTTATCAATCATGGTAATAATAATAATAATAATAATAATAATAATTGTAACAAAATTAATTATTTTGATAGTCAAGATGACACAATCGGTGTTAATCTGTGGTGCGCGCTACTTATAAGTAGTATATGACGCGAGTGTAAACGTAATGTCTGGCAGCAGAAGATGGGGGAAGATCAAGAAAGGAAGAAGAGTGGGAACACAATACGGAATTTGTATGAAACGCATGAATAAGTGAAATGTCAGACAACAATGGATTGATGATGGATTGAAGATTTGCAAATTAACAACGGTTTACGATATGGTTTTCCTATTTTACTGAGTAACTCTGTAATTTTCGTTCAATACAATTCAGTTGCCCTCACCTGTGTTCTCCTTCACTACAAATCTACTGCAACTTTCTCTATTAACACGAAGTTGTGACCTAACAAAATGATATGCTCGTCAAGTGATATACTTGAATGCTATTACGAGTTCACCTTAGTCGGTAAACGAAAGCGAAGACAAATGATCCAGTGACACAGTAGGCTATTCTAATTCGATTGTCGTCGGCCTTACTAACTATAGGAAAAAGGATTGATAAGGTGTAGAAAGTGTATTCTACAGGCACCCAGAAAGTCGAGGTTTTTCAAGCACACAAATTGAGTTTGTTTACACATGACAGAAACGCCCTTGAAAGAGCCACGAAAATAGCGTCGTACTAAAATCATCCATCAACCAATGACGGTCAAGGATTTTCCGGTTGGGAAGTGTAATCTTAAGTTCAACTGATCAGCCTATGCGCGAAAACACAGAATCCAAAATCAGGACCTTTTCCAAGCAAGTTCTGGGTATATAATGTCCCCAACACACAAACATTCAAATTTTTTTTCAATATCACAATATTTTATTGGAAGAGTTGAGTTCGTTAACCACTTCATGTGTAAATAAGACCAATGAATAACAATACAATTTATATCTGATGAATAGGTAGATTTCTCAATCATCAACCAATTAACAGTAACGTAGAACTTCGTATGTATATACGTACATCAGAGCAAGCTTCCATACCATATTAGCACAGAGATGTAATTGTCAATGCAAATCGCACAGTAGTAGGGTTAATAAAAGTATTAGCAGTAATCAGAGAGATTAGGGTTTAAAGATATTATTCAAGAAGTAGAATCTAGTGAAATAAACTTAAAAATAAAAAGATAAACGTGATAAGAAATTCAGAAGATTAGGATTTGAGAGAACACAAAGAATGAATGAATGCACCTGTGCAATTGCAAACAGTTTTGAGCCATGATGTCATTCAGGATTTCTAACCATCGATTACTATTCTCTCACGGGCCCTAACCAAGTAGATTTTTATAAAATATTGATTCATTTACCATGCTTGAAGCATAATTGATGCATGAAATGTACTGAATACCTTTACATCAGCGTTGATAGTGTCACTAATGAAATGATATTACTTCAGGATGGAATTATTTTCAATTCTTACAGACAGCTTTAATTGAATAGTATTGGTTAATTGGAAATTTATCTGTTGGGGACGTTAGATTTCCAGAACTCACTCGATAAAGGCCCTAATTTTGGATCCTGTGTTTTCGCGCTTGGGCTGATCAGTTGACTTTGGGATCACACTTTCCATCCGGAAAATCCTTGACTGTCATTGGTTGATGGGTGATTTTAGTACGCTAGCTTTGTGGCTCTCCAAGGACGTTTCTATATTGTATAAATAAACTCAATTTATGTGCTTGTGAAACCTCATATTTATTGGGTGCTTGTAGAATACATTTTCTACACCTTATCAAGACTTCTTCCTTTACTTAGTGAGGCTATGGGATGCTTGGATTAGAGTAGCCTATCGTGTCACTGGATCATCTGTCTTCGCTCTCGTTTATCGACTAAGGTGAACTCGTAATAGTTAAAAGCATATAAACTGACGAGTATATCATTATCGTAAACATATATTGCATTTTTAGTGACCCAGGATCTAACTCCAACTTGGTCGAATGATCGAACATGAAGTATATCATTCTTAAGCGAACCCTGTTTGTGTGACGTTGGTTATTAAAAGCCTAATACGGATTCAATTGAGTGAGTTTATTCTAAACAATCGTTCACGCTGACAGACATAAAGATAAAAAGCGGGAGCGTGAAGGTGAATGAGCTAACTCAATGGGATGAAGCATGACTAGGTATTTATATTTTTGAAAGCATAAATCGATCAATTTTAGACCAACATTAGAAACCTGGAAGCACTGAAAGACGGCCGTTTCGTCCTGGTATGGGACTATTCAGTAGTGCGCATCCACGACTCCTGCACCCCGCAGGATTCTAACCCAGAACCTTCGGTATTGTGCGCGAACGCCCTAACCATCTGACCACTGAGCTGGTATCTAACGGTGTTAATGTCTAACTTGATCGAATTCACGGAGTTGCGCAACCTCATACACAGTCTTCGGTAGACATTGCCTACACCCGAACAGGTTGAACTTCACTGGTCGCGTCTTCCCACTAGAACTCGGAGAAGATTCCTCACGAAGCTAGTCACTAGTGGGCTGTTCGCGCACAATACGGAAGGTCCTGGGTTCGAATCCTGCGGGGTGCAGGAGTCGTGGATGCGCACTGCTGAAGAGTCCCATACCAGGACGAAACGGCCGCCCAGTGCTTCCAGGTTTCTAATGGTGGTCTAACATCGATCGATTCATGCTTTCAAAAATGTGTAACTTAACAATCTTCACAACCCCGTAATATAGGTATTTATAGTCAGACGAAAATAATCTAAGCATGAGGTTAGCAGTACACTTACACACACGCACACACACACACACACTCAAATAAAAACAACTTAAGTTTTAAATGAATAATAGAAAAGGTCAAAAGACATGTGAATAATAAGTCGTGGAGAAAAGGTTAACTAGTTTGTCCGAAATCTAGGTCCAGTGGTCAAACGGGCTCAACATACCAGTACACACCCTATAGTATATATATAAATAACGAAGAAAACTCGCATACCAATCCAAAAAATGTAGAGTTTTATCAAGAGAGATATATAAGTCGCATTGAACAGATGAGTGAAATTGGTGGAAAAAAAATTAATTTAGATATTCACTGCTTATTTTATTCATTACTTAACGTGTAACACAATTAATCTTGTCTCAGACAATGGTCGTTATAAAGATGAGCGTATTCCAGTGGATTAATATGTCGGTTACCTCAAAACAAAGTGTTATTTAAAGTACAAAGAAACAAAACAAGGTAAGGACTATGTGTTTTAAGGTTCATACAATAACCTTAATCACTGGTTGGGAACGTTAGGTGAAAGGACTTAGAACCAACCACAAAGCCAAAAACTCATTCACTACTACTGATACTATTAATGCAGCTTCTATTACACTGGCATTCATCGTGAAAATATTGTTTCGCTACTGTTTAGATTATAGTTTGGTAACTGAAATCGATGCATGTATATATTCTAAGTTCAACACGTGTTGCATAACATCACACTAACCGTGAAGAGAAAACAAAGCAAATATATTGCTAACACACTAGCATCAGTATCGATTTGGTGAGGTGTGAAACTGACAACGATGATGATGATACGTTTGTTGGTAGACATAGGCAACTAAGGGTGTGAATAGTTTAAGCTATGCTCACGGGCCGATGATGATCATCTCAAATGTTTGGTAATCATCTGAGTTAGTTGGTTGCTTCAGGAAGCTAATATTGCAACACTATTCTGTCATGACTTGGTTTAGCGTCAAGTTCCTACCTTCGTACATATATATATATATATGCATTACGGGGTTGTGAAGATTGTTAAGTTACACATTTTTTTTGAAACCATGAATCGATCAATGTCCTAGGTTCGAATCGTGCGGGGTGCAGGAGCCATGGATGCGCATTGCTGAGGAGTCCCATACCAGGACGAAACGGCCGTCCAGTGCTTCCAGGTTTCTAATGGTGGTCTAACATTGATCGATTCATGGTTTCATAAAAAAAATGTGTAACTTAACAATCTTCACAACCCTGTAATGCAAATTACCTGTGCTCACTAGTGACTAGCTTCGTGAGGAATCTTCTCCGAGTTCTAGTGGGAAAACGTGACCAGTGAAGTTCAACCTGTTCGGGTGTAGGCAGTGTCTACCGAAGACTGTGTATGAGGTGGCGCAACTCCGTGAATTCGATCAAGTTAGACATTAACACCGTTAGATACCGGCTCAGTGGTCTAACGGTTAGGGCGTTCGCGCACATTACCGAAGCTCCTGGGTTCGAATCCTGCGGGGGCAGGAGTCGTGTATGCGCACTGCTGAGGAGTCCCATACCAGGACGAAACGGCCGTCCAGTGCTTCTTCCAGGTTTTTAATGGTGGTCTAACATTGATCGATTCATGGTATCAAATATATATATATATATACATCTAACAATCGAGTTCCTAAGGTGACTTCTGCAAAATACGGTTGGCATAATATTCATGCTCACCAACCCAAAGAGGCCGCATCAATGGGTGGGTTTCCTATGCATTACCTTGTCTGCCAAACTCTATGATTGGTTTTTCTAACGCTTGAACCATGCACTGAGTATATCCTTTTACTCCGGACTTGAATTGAATACTGAAATATTGCTGGTAACTTCATTAATAATAGATAATAGTGTATGATTTGAAAAACTTGGATATCAAACTGTTGAATATTTCCTATCGCCAGCACCTAGATCCACTTGATATTCAGGAAGAACTCTATTAAGCTGACTACCATATGTCAGGAATACGTCTGTTTTTTTTGACGCCTGTTATTATATTCCCATTTGTTTGATAATCCTGTAGTGAACGACAACACAGGTGAGGCAACCGAATTGTATTGAACGAAAATTACAGAGTTACTCAGTAAAATAGGAAAACCATATCGTAAACCGTTGTTAATTTGCAAATCTTCAATCCATCATCAATCCATTGTCTGACATTTCACTCACTATTCATGCGTTTCATACAAATTCCATTGTGTTCCCACTCTTCTTCCTTTCTTGATCTTGCCCCATCTTCTGCTGCCAGACATTACGTTGACACTCACGTCATGTACTACTTATAAGTAGCTCGCACCACACTCTTAACAAATCCTAATCGAGAAAGCTTTTAAATGTTGATCGACAAAGTTTCAAAACAGTTTCCTTAAATCTAGAAAGAATTAGGCAACGTCGAATTGTAATGGTTAGCTTAATTGAAAACCAACGATGTATGCTTTTAGATCTTAAAATATGACAATATTTTTCATAAAAATTACATAATCTAAGAAATCAATTATTTCACCAGCTACTGATAACATAAAGAATGACGTATATATAGATATATCCGCTTACTTCATTTAAATCAACACTGTAGTAATCAATCGGTGAATTATGCTGTACAAAGTTATAAATAGTTGTTGCTAATGATCTAATTGTCTTGAAACTTCCTTGAGAGCCTGTAACAAATAAAACTGGTGTATTATTGGGTCCGGATCTAAAATCAGCATTGTAAAGTGATTTTTTTTAGAATTACCGATATCTAGAACTAAACAGGAAAGAAAGAAACAATTAATGAACAAAATGCAAAAATATTTGAATGTACCCTTCTTGATATTGATATAGGGCATAGCCTAAAAAGCGACTGGGTTGGTCATGATCCACGTTGATTTCCTGTAGATAAATTATTATTTAACAGAAATTTTTTTTTACTTTATATTCAGGAATTTCCATCAGCTGAGTAATGATACATCGATTCGATTCTGAATCTGTATACCAATGAATACCACTCCATAGTAGTAATAATATCAGGAATAAATTGATTAATACATATGATATCTTTACAATTGTATAATGTCCCATTTTCAAGGTAACTGTGAAAAAATGATAATATACAAAGTATCTTTATAATTGAAATATATTATTAAGTAAAAAGTAAAATTAGTACCGGTAAACATTACTCTTGATGAATCCTACCTAAAATGTCTTAGAAGCATTGCTCGTGTATCCTGGGACAACTGAGTAGGCAATACTGTTGTTAAGAAAACGAGTACTAGGTAAGGATGGCAGATCAATAGATGAAGTGGTGAAACTTCATCAGTTGAGGTGGTTGGGACATGTTTTACGTATGGCTAACCACCGACTGCCTCGACGAGCTATGTTTTGTGGTGTAGGAGTAGATTGGAAGAAAGTTAGGGGCAGCCAGACCAAAACATGGCAGAAGTCAGTGACAAGTGGACTGAGTCATGTTGGTAGATGTAGTTGGTTGGGGTCCGCGAGACGAAAGTCACCAATGGTTAGAGACCTTGAACGACATGGCTCAAAATCGTTTGCAATGGCACAGGTGCATCCACTCTTTGTGTTCTCTCTAATTCTAATTTTCTGAATTCTTCGTCATTTCTGTCTTACTTTTACTAAACTTATCTCACTTTATTATACTTCTTGAATAATATCCTCAAACCCTAATCTTCTTCATTACTATTAATACCTCTACTATCTTTATCACTATGAGATTTGATTTGACATTTGCATCTCTGTACTAATGTAGTATGGCAAAATGAACTTATGTACTTACGTACGAAGTTCTACGTTGCAACTGACTGACTGACTGACTGACTTAACATGTGGTTTCCCCAAAATAAATATCACAATATTAGGTATTCCTTAACAATAATACACAACTATTTTTTAAAAAGTAAGTATTCCAGATACATTCATATTTCCAGTATAGAGTGTTTGGAAAGAAAGTGGAATTTTTAAATTCGCACATTTTACAGGCTTTAAGCATTTTCTCAGACAGATTACATTCTACCTACTTTGTAGCATGAGATGATGAAAAAAAGAAATAACTGAATAAACCAGTAGAAGAGACAACTTTAAAAAAATATCTGTAATGCTTAAGGCACGCGGTATTAATGAACTAAGCTTTCCAACATGAAAACATCAATATCACTCCAGATTGGATTCCGATGAAGAATAAATTAAAGTATGAGTTGAGTTACTAATTATCGTATTCTTCAAACAAGTTTAGATGAAACGAAAGTATCAAAAACAGACTAAATAACTGTATGAGTGCATATATATATATATATATATATATATATATATATATATATATATATATATATATATATATATATCACATTTATAAGTGAAAAAACCAATCATAATATTTAAAGCATAGTTCAGAACACTTCAAGAAAATGCACTGAATATTTGCTTGAAATAATCAAAAATTAAAATGACCTTTAAAATTACGTAGTCCATTTATAAATCTTAAAATTTAGCCCACTCGTGGAAAAAAGCATTTCACTACAGAGAACCACATTTTGAACATACAAGAACTGAGATTTTTTATTTAGTTCCAATATACAGAATCGACTATACAAAAAAATACAAAACAATTGATTTGCATATATTTTTGAGTGAAGCGGTTGATCATGTTGACTACTTCACTTATCTCGGGAGTTGCATCAGTGCTGACGGCATGGTGACTAACGAAATCTCTGAACATATACAGAATGCTCGACCGGCTTTTGCCAACCTGCTTTACTTATGGAGTAGGCGAAGTATCCGTTTGCCAACCAAAGGACGAGTTAACTGTGTAGCAGTTCGCTCTATCCTAATTTATGACTGTGAAACATGGCCAGTGAGAGTAGAAGATATTCGTAGGTTACTTGTTTTCGATCATATTTGCCTTTGAAGCATTACTCGTATATCCTGGGACAACCGAGTTGTTAGGAGACGAGTACGAGGTAGGGATAGCAAATCAAGCGGTGAAGTAGTGAATGTTCATCAGTTGAGTTAGATGATATATGTGTTATGAATGCCCAACCACTGAGTGCCTCGACGAGCGATGCTTTGTGGTGTAGGAGTAGGTTGGAAGAAATCTAGGGCCGGCCACACCAAAATATGTCAGAAATCAATGAAGTCAGTGACAAGTGGACTGAGTCATGTTGGTAGGTGTGGACTATGTGGTTGGAGTCTGCAAGACGACAGTAACCGAAGTTAGAGACCTTGAACGACATGGCTCCGGATCGTAGGCAATGCCGCAGACGCATTCATTCATCGTGTTCTATGAAATTCTAATCTTCTAAATTCCTCATCACCTCTATCTTTCTCTTTCTAAATTATACTTTTGAATAATATCTTCGAACTCCAATCTTCTCGATTACGGGTAACACTTCTACTATCTCCGCCGCTATGGGATTGAACTGACGACTGAGTCTCTGTGCTAATGCGGTATGGAAACCTGAACTTATGTACGTACGTACGAAGTTTTACGTTGTAACTGACTGACTAACTTTTCATTAGACAGTGAATAGTATTGCCCAGACACCAATTCGACTATTCAAGGGACTATCCCTTGACCACTACTGATTACTTACAATGCACTAGGGTCATAACAGTTTACGATTAATTTGCATTATTTAAATATGCTGTTCATACGACTATAACCTAACCATCGTTGTCGTGTGACTTATGTATCAGTTAAAAGACGAATAATTTTGTTAGGGATTAGATACACGGCAATTTTATTAGGCTAATGAATGATGTAGTCCTCACAAATCGCTGGACTAGCACATGTGAGAAAATCGCAGTCGTTGGACACTACCAATTATTACGATAAAAGGAGTGATGATTTATGTTGTGCATTTCTAAAAAGCATTTGAAACTGGACTGTAATACTACCAGTTGTATGTAAATAAACTAACTGAAAGTGTTGAAAAATACTTCACCACTGGGACTATAAATTATTCAAAAATGAACATATTATTGTCAAAAAGAATTGTTGAAAACAGACCAATTCGAACTTTCATGATATGTTAGGTTTTTATTCGCGATCGGAACTCACGTGTTCGCAGTTTTAGAGGTAACAGCGTGATTGCGAATTAGTTAAAACAGAAATCCATGATTCAGAAATAGTTAATTGATTGAAGTTTGCTAGCAACCATGCTAGTCTCCTTACGATGTCCTCAAATAAGCTCAAACAGAGATGGATGAAGACTAAACATGTTAACTATTTCAAGCTGTACTCAGTTTTCAATTTTACAACCTCACAAACTTTGTTTCAAATTATGAACGAAGGTACAGGTTTATTGATTGTGACTATATAACCCAAGAAAGTAACTGATAAATGCACATAAGCGGTGGAAACTATCGAATTCATCAATTACAACAAAATAATATTTTACAAGTTGTCTACCTATTTGGTATGAGTGTACAAACGTTAACTACAATGAGCTTATGGGTTGAAGGATCTCCAAACGCAAAATATTTGTAATGGCTCATCTCATTTCTCTTAGTCAGAAACATTCAAATGGTAATTACCTTTAAAATATCAATGAAAATATGTATATTATAACATTATATCATAAAAATATCCTACTGTATAACCGGAAACTTGGACTCACTTTTCATAAGGAAGATGCTGTTAAGATACAGGATGCTATTAGAATGATGTTGTGCACAGTAAAATTTCAGCGTACTCTACTACGGTTTAGTAATTGGAGGACATAACGAAATATGCCAAAAACTAGGTGAAAATCCAGATATTTAAACGCCCTACAGACTTCATTTTCTGATATCGCGCAACGTAGGTGAAAAAAACAAAAAGTACAATAAAAGACTTTATGGTTCTAATTTAATGTGATATAGCCTCAGAAGGCGAAATTGCTGAAGCAAGATTATTATCAGGCTTTTCTTCATGGTTTAATGTATAAGTTCTACAGTTGACCGTTGGGCTGTGTAGTCACGCTTCCAGGTCGTGCAGACGAAAGCAAACAAGATTATGTTTACAGGATCTTCAAGAAGTACCCTTCAACGGTGTTGGCAGCCGGGAAGTGACAAACGATCTCACAGACGTAACAACACGCGCGACCCGGCGACCCTCAAGGCCAAACCCAATGATGGGTCCAACTAGACCGCATTGCTATCAGCCATTAGTGGAGAGGCTCCATTGAAGACTGCCGCTCATTCTGGAGCACTTGTTTCCATTGAAGTGATGATATGGTGCGGTCTATGAGACGCAGGAACGACATTTCAAGGAAACCTGTTAAGGTTCTACTAGATGATAGATGAAAGGGCATTGTAGGAACTTGAAAAGACCAAAAGGAGTCATGTTAGCAGTTTTCTCGATATCTTGAACAGCGACTGAGATCGGATTAAATGCTCGTACAATATCGATATTAGAATAGATATTCGTGCCCTTAAGATATTTTGTGATGTCGTGTATGTGGGGGTTGGGACAGCTATGGAAACGTCTAACTTCGTTTAATGCTCGGTAGTCGCCACATGGTTTCCAACTTATCCTATCCTTTTTGCGAACCATGTGGAGTAGCGAGGCCCCAGAATTGTGAGAAGGACGAATAATACCTGTAGCTGGTAAACTGTCAGACTCACGTTTAGCGGAAGTTAATTTGTCCGGTGCCAGTCGGTGAGGTCCGCGAGTGACGATGTGGTGTACCACATGGTGAGTCATCGATAGGTTCTCTTCGAGTGGTTTAGTTATTTGGGGAAATTTTTCGAGTTCAGCGTCGAAAATATCATCACGTGAATAAAATACCCCTGTAATTCCGTTCGGGCTCGAAAGCCCATATATTTACTGTTTGACGAAGTATCGATTAGCTGAAGCCTACGTGAATTGACTAGCAGTTTACAGTGCTGTAGGAAATGGATACTGAGTATAGCTGTGAGAACATCGGCAATGATGAACGTCCATAGATACTATCGTCGGTTGCACAGGTTGACCGTCAGCTGTCGTCTACCATATGTAGGAATAACAGAGCCATTCTCAGAGCGCAGTCAAAGCATCATAGGTTGAGACTGCTGTCAAGTGATGCGACGAAAACGGGCACCTGTGTCAACTAGGTACCTAGCGTTAGCGCGGACATCGTGCATGTAAAATACGCATTCAACTTGAGGTGAGATGCCGACGAGTACGGCCGCGTTTATTTGTCGGCTCTGGAGTTCCCTGCCTTTTATGAGCAGGGGTTTCGATAATGACCGGCGTCAGACCTAAAAGTCTTGTGGAACTAGTACCAACAGGTACTCGTTTCCGAAGCCACTCCTTGGCTTGGCTTGGAAGATGCCCGCTGGGGGCGAGTACTTGCAGCCTTTCTTGATCGAGAGCGGGCTCACGGGACGTGGGTTTCAGGAACAGAAGAACGACCTCCAAAAGTGAAACGGCTGTGGATAAAGCAACTCTGGTCACGTTGAGCCTGACGGTGATTAGGGACGAGGTCAACGTTTGCGTGTGGCGTAGGAGCTTTTTTGTTGTTGTCTCGCGTGCTAATCCACGCTACTATTTTGTCTACTATGAGGGCGTTTTGTTGGTAGAAATGTTCTTTTCTTAGAAGCCTGTAAATTTACTAGCTGACGAATCTAAACAAGAAGATCTTGGCACATTTACCTCGTCAATTCTTGTATTATGCAGACCTGGATTTACCTTGCATTACCTTTCTGTTCGTCGTAACGTGACCATTTAACTCACTCGAGATATCATATTGCACATTGCAAAGTCCGAAATATTATCGATTATTTTCTGTGAAAAATTGTAGCAATCGATGTATCTTGTGAACTATTTATCTAACACAACAAACTTTTACAGAAAATACGTTAACGATTTCAAAAGTTTGCCTGTAAATTGGCATTCATCGTCTAAACTGTGATTTGAGAATTAACTAACATATTTCTACAAGTAGTGCCAGTCAGGGTTGTCCACCTTCATCATTTTTACTTACCTCTGTCACTGACATGCTTGTAAATTAGACACTTTGGTCGTCTTGCATTTTGGGAGTTCACCTACATGTAAGATTCAGGGTGAATTCTGATTTCGGGAAAAAATTCTGGAAGTTTAGGTACGCGCCTTTTCTAGTTAATCCAGAAAGAAAGCAATTCATCTGGGTAAGAAGCGGACGAGAACCGGTGTTTTCAACGTGGTATGGGCGCCGACAACTGCACACCCACTCAAAATGCACATCAACACAAACAACACTGACACCGACAACAAACAGGCAACAACCGACTCAACCCAGTGTGGTCTGTCTGGCTGGCGGTTGGCAGTTGCAGTCGCACTGTCAATCAATCGGTGGTCATCGCACTACTTACTTCTCAACTAGTCAGTCATCAACAACAACAACAACAACACCAGATTATTCACCTAGTCGGCTATCACATGTCTAGTTGAGTGATTTTGTTTATTATGTGAATGGTTGTGGAGGTGTATGTGATGTTGTGAGTGTGTGTTTGTGGTTCTGACTGTACTTACTTACTTACTTGCTTACTTACGCCTGTTACCCCCAATGGAGCATAGGCCAACCACCAATTTTCTCCAACCAACTCTGTCCTGGGCTTCCCTCTCCAGTTCTGTCCGATGTTTGTTCATTCCTCTCATATCTTTCTCTATTTCTCGGCGTAGTGTGTTCCTTGGTCTTCCTCTTTTCCTTCTTCCTTGAGGGTTCCATGTGAGGTCTTGTCTCGTGACGCAGCTAGGTGCTTTCCGCAATGTGTGTCCTATCCACTTCCACCGCTTCTTCCCCATTTCCTCCTCCACTGGAATCTGGTTTGTTCACACCCACAGTAGATTGTTGCTGATGGTGTCTGGTCAACGAATACGAAGTATTTTGCGTAGACAACTGTTAATAAACACTTGGATCTTCTGGATGATGGCTTTCATTTGTATTGAAAATCCTGATTTTGGTTTTGGTTGAAAGTTGTTTGGAGTTCCAGATATTTTTCAATTGTAGAAATTCAGCTCTTGCTTTGCCAATTCGTGCCCTCACATCTGCATCGGATCCACCTTTCTCGTCAATGATGCTGCCCAGATATGTAGAGGCGTTAACGTCCTCCAAGGCATCTCCATCAAGAGTGCTTTGGTTGGTGCATGTTGAGTTGCATCGGAGAATTTTGCTTTGTCCTTTATGTATGTTGAGACCTACTGCTGCGGAGGCTGCTGGTACACTGGTCGTCTTCTCTTACATTTATTGTTGTGTGTGCGATAGAGGAACCAGGTCATCTGCGAAGTCCAGATCGTCCAGCATCAGCACAGTGACGCATAAGTCAGTTCAAACCCCATAGTGTTAGAGATAGTAGAAGTATGGACCACCAGGAGAAAGAGAAAGTGTGAGAGTAAGCAACCTTGCCTGACACCGGTCTTCACCTCGAAAAAGTCTGTTAGCTGTCCTTTGTGTACGATTTTTCAGTTGAATCCATCATAAGAATTCCTCATGATGTTACCTATTTTTTCAGGCACACCGTAGTGTCGAAGAAGCCTCCACAGTGTTTTCCTATCCACGCTATCGAATGCTTTCTCGTAGTCGATGAAGTTGATGTAGAGTGGTGAGTTCCATTCAATTGACTGTTCCACAATGATCCGTAATGTAGCAATTTGGTCAGTACACGATCGATCCTTACGAAATCCGGCCTGTTGATCTCGAAGTTGGGCGTCTACGAAGTCCTTCATTCTGTTTAACAATACCCTGTTGAAGACTTTGCCTGGTATTGAAAGAAGAGTGATGCCTCTGTAGTTCTCACACTTGCTGAGGTCGCCTTTCTATGGTATTTTAATCAGATATCCTTCTTCCCAATCTGATGGTACTTGTTTCTCATCCCAAATCTTCTTGAAGAGCATGTGAAATATTTTCGCAGTTGCTTCTACATCTGCTTTCATTGCCTCTGCTGGAATGTTGTCTGGTCCTGCCTCTTTTCCGCCCTTGATTTTTCTGATAGCCATGCTGATCTCTCCAATTGTATGTGCACCAATATAAAGTTGGAGGTCGCTTCGATGTTGGGTGGGTTCAGCCTGTGCGGTAACTTTCTATGCTCTTGTTCGGCTGACATAGATTGCTGCCTTCTTGTTCCTCCTTCAATTTTTGCAAGAGTATCAACAGAGATCCATTCCTTGTGATGGTACTTCTTGTGACCCAGAACTTCTGATCCCTTTTCGATTGTTCTCCAATGTTGCGTCCTCTCAGTTGAGTAGATCCTGAAAGGCCTGGAACCTATTGGTGAGGGTTATCTTGAATACGTTGAGTTTTACGGTATCCCGAAGAAAGGCCGTATTAAACTTGTGTGATGTTGTCTGCCTCGTTGCCCAGTGGTTCTTTAGTTTCAGTCTTATTTTGGCGACCAGCAAGTGGTGATCTGAGGCTATATCAGCTCCTTTCCTGGTTCTCACATCCTACATGGTCTTTCTGAACTTTTTATTGACACATATATGATCGATTTGGTTCTGAGTAGTGTGACCGGTGAAATCCATGTAGCTTTGTGAATGCGTTTGTGCGGGAATATTGTGCCACCGATGACCAGTTTGTTGAAGGCACATAGGTTTGCAAATCTCTCACCATTTTCGTTCCTTTCTCCCAGTCCATGTCGTCCCATGATGTCTTCATATCCAGTGTTGTCCATTCCAACCTTGGCATTCAGGTCTCCCATAAGAATCGTCAAATCCTTTGGTGAATATTTCTCGACGATTGACTGCAGCCTTTCGTAGAATTGATCTTTAACGTCGTCATTGTAGTCATTGGTAGGTGCATAACATTGGATGACGTTCATCGTAATGTCCTCATTTTTGTTTTGAAGGATGCTTTAATGATCC